CCTTTCAAGGAACCCTTTAAAGGAACCCGCAGGCGAGCCCTCTAGAGGAGTCCTGAAAGGAACCCTTTCAAGGAACCCCTTAAAGGAACCCTCAGGCGAGCCCTCTAAAGGAACCCTTAAAGGGACCCTTTCAAGGAAGCTTTAAAGGAACCCTCAGGCGAGCCCTCTAAAGGAACCCTTAAAGGGACCCTTTCAAGGAAGCTTTAAAGGAACCCTCAGGCGAACCCTCTAAGGGAACCCTTAAAGGGACCCGTTCAAGGAACCCTTGAAAGGAAACCCTCAGAGGAACCCTTAACGGAGCCCGGAGGTCTAAGGGCGCAGCCAACGTCCAGTCCGGTCCGGACCCAATCAACTTCCCCATCGCCACCTTCGTTCTCATGAGGCCTCCGCAAGACACACCGGGTGGAGGGGTTTAGGGTCTAAGGGTTAAGGGTGAAGGGTTTGGGGTTCAGGGTTGAGGGTAGAGATACGAACTGCCAACTACCCGAAGCACTACACCGCAACTACCCTAAGCTGACTCCCTGAACCCTAGATGCCATAAAACTTACATCCCCTAATGACACAGTCTGAAGTAAGCCCTGGACCTCACATGCAGATAGCCTCGGGCCAGTTAAGGTTGTTGATGCAGGGCCGGTAATCAGTAGAATCGGGGCTCCTTAAACCCTTAACCCTAAACCCCTAACCCCTAAACCCCTAAACCCCTAAACCCCTAAACCCCTAAACCCCTAAACCCCTACACCCCTAACCCCAAAACTCCTAAACCCCTAACCCCTAAAACCTAAAACCCCTAAACCCTCAACCCTGTTCCTTAAAGGGCTTATGGGTTCTATAGTCTAAGGTGTCTTAAGAAGTAGAGCAAGGCTTTCCGGCTGCGGTGTGGTTATCATCCAAAAACTTAGGGAACCCTACGGAATGGTGCTGAGTTTAGGGTTTAGGGTTGAAGGCTTAGGGTTTGTTGGGGTTTAGGGTTTAGGGTTTAGGGTTTAAGGTTTAGAATTGAGGGTTTAGGGTTGAGGGTTCAGGGCTTGGGGTTTAGGGTTTAGGGTTCTAAAACACAAAGTCGTCAAACGAACTGGCTTCGGGCCCAGGGTTTCGGATTTGGGGCTTAGGGTTTAGGCTTTAGCCTGGCATCCAACAGCGCCCTACGCCGAGATTCCCAATTTAATTTGTGAGCCAGACCCGACCCCCTCTATAGCTCAGACCCTAAGCACTAAACCCCTAAACCCCTAAACCCTGAACCCTAATCCCCTAAACCCTAAATCCTAAACCCTAATCCCCTAAACCCTAAACCCTAAACCCTAAACCCCTAAACCCTGAACCCTAAACCCTCAACCGTGAGACCAGGTTGAGGCAGCCGCGCGCTTGTCGAATCCCGACTTTTGAATCTGCGGCCTCAGCATCTCAGGCGCGACGGGCCTCAACCCCACACACCTCAAATTGTAAGATATTATCATAATTTCACTATACTACACTTATTATACTGTATACTATACCTCAACACATTAAATGATAAAGTACTACAACTCACGCTACTACATATTATACTATACTCTACTAGGTTTTACTCCTACACTGTCAGGCCGAACCTCCAAATCCTTAAACCCCTAACCCCGAAACCACAGAACCCATCAAAAAAACCCTATAAACTCCACCCGAACCCTAAAACCCTAAACCTCCCCTACCTGATGCCCAAATTTCTTTTTTTTAACCCCTGCGACGAAGTGTTCGGATCACGGGCATTTTGGGGGGACTTTCGGGTTTAGGGTTTAGGGCTTCGTGGTGGTTCAGGGTTTAGCGGTCTCGGGTTTAGGGGTTTAGGGTTTAGGGTTTAGGGATTTAGGGATTTAGGGGTTCAGGGTTTTACGGTTCAGAGGTTTAGGGTTCAGGGGTTTGGGGGTTTGGGGGTTTAGGGTCTAGGGACCAAGCACTTGATGTCCTGTTCGGTGAGGCCCCGACAGCCGTAAGTGCCATCTTCTTCGCATCAGTGCAGCCGGGAAGCATGATCGGCCTCGACAGGTCTGCACTTCGAGGATGTGGAGGAAGTTGGGGTTCAGGGCTTAGGGGTTTAGGGAATTAGGGTGTAGGGTTTAGGGTCTTGGGTTTACGGTTTGGGGCTCAGCCCTAAACCCTAAACCCTAAACCCTAAACCAAAAACTCTTTCATCAGTTTGTGCACCGAGGCCCGGGCAGCTTGACTCCCGACGCGCTTTGCCTTTGAGAAGCTGTCAGGACGCTTCTCAGCCCTAAACCCTAAACCCCAAACCCTAAACCCTAAACCCTAAAACCTAAACCCTAAACCCTAAACCCCAAAAATTCTCAGACTTGAGTGTCCAGGTTTAGGCTTGAGGTTTGAGGGTTCGGGATGCTTTGAGGCTGTGGCCCAGGTTTGGTCTTGGGGTTTTAGGGTTTAGGGGTTTAGGGTTTCAGGGTTTAGGGTTTCGGGGTTTAGGGTTTAGGGTTTGCGTTCTGTAGAATCAGTCAGAGCACCAAGGGCTTTGGCTTCTGCCACAGTTACCATGTACGTGGGGATCCAAAAACCCACCGTTTTACGGGTAGGGTTTGGGGTCACAGGTGGTTTTTGATGGTGTCTTGCAGCTGAACGTGTAAGGACTCATATTCAGATCTATTAGTTTTAGGTTGCAAGATAGCCAGGTGTTTGGGACTTCGAAGTACAGCTTCCAGGCATGCCGGGACATGCCTCGACCACGTACCTATGTGTTGCACATATGTCTGCATTCTGAAATCATTCATGTAAACTGAGGGAATGAGGCCCACACATACATTGGGCTGCACGGGTACAATTGCCAGCAAGATCACATTCTTGCCGTACTGCATCAATATACCCGCCCCTCCAGACCCCTCAAGCCATCGTAAGCCCATGCTCCCAAGGACCGCGGCGGAGTGGGCGAAACATGAGAAGAAGCGGCAGTCAGCGCAATTTCTCTCTCACTACGCCACCATGAACCCGGGTCTGAGCGGCAGATGATGTTGCAACTCGAAACCAAAGCCCTAACGCTCGTTTGGGCAGCTGTATCTTGAATCGGCTTCAGACATTGCGTGCTTGGAACCTGCACTCCATCAGTATTCTCGGACCACCAGGCACTGCAACCCGCAATCCCCAAAGACCTCAGAGTAGTCCTGCCATGGCCATTCCTAGCCGTACCTCTTACGGCCGCCAGTGCATCATGCATAAACTGAAAAGACACAGCAGCCGAACCTGCGGAAAAAGAGGATCAGAATTTAAAACAGGGCTTTAAGCCCCCAAGCACTTAACCCGAATCTCCGGCCGACCATAACGGGCCGTCAGCAACGTTCAACTCCAAGGCCTATCGCCATTTTGTTTACACCGACTCGTTCCCTGCAAGGCCTCAGAGCCTGAACCCGAAGAATGTAGGGCCTTAATAAATAGAACAGGGTTTTGGGGTATATTATACCATAGTTCTAGTAAGGAACCATGTCCACACATCACTTCCGAGTTTATGCTTGTTCAATCTTATACTGTAAAATGCGTTTTCCGTAGTTCACAAAATGTGCCATGTTGTGGTGTTGGTTAACATAGTCTTTGTCAGCGCCGTCGTCCTTTTTGATCTTGCATTTTTGCAGAATCCTGCATGGTGGATGTCGCAGCAGACAATACATATGGCCCCTTGCAGCACGAGCGGAAGCCATCTTCGAACCCTATCAGCCCCCCAAAATGAAAGTCAACGCCATTAAGCAGGGCACACCACCGTGTTTGAAAGGTTGCCACCGTGATAAAGCACCCTTCGGATGCTGCTGCTGGGGGTAGGATCTTCGGCTTAAGAGACATTGGTGTTACATAGAGTCATTTGACATGGGGGGGGTCGAGGGGTTTTGTGACAGCACCTCCTTGTCAGAATCAGGCCTGTAGCGAACTCGGCCCGCTATGGGAGCTTGGAATGGGGCCATGCGTACGAGTGCGTGTGTGTGTGTGTGTCTGTGTGTCTGTGTGTCTGTGTGTCTATGTGTCTGTGTGTGCAAGGGCTGCCACAGATACAGCATTGTTTGCGGATTTGCAACACACGAGAAGTACTAGGGTCATTGTCTTTTCATTTCGCCACTGCTTGCTCAGAAGCAACAGACTCAATATTGGTTCGTGCAGCACCGAAAAGAAGAAATCTGCACCCGAATGCACATGTAGAAGTCGAGAGGCAAAGCCAGAAATCCAACCCTAAACCCAAAACCAAGCCCCAAAACCCTTTGTTTTGCACTATAAACCCAACCCTATACCCTAATCCTAAACTCCCAAATGCTAACCCAAACCCCAGCCCCATCCGCAGGTGACCACCCCCGTCACGGAGGCGGTGCTGGACAAGTAGAGACCTCGGGCCAGTTAGTGGTTCAGGGCTTGGGGTATTTTAAGGGAAAGAGAAGGAGCAGGAGCAATCATGCTGGCAATCGTCAAGATAGCAGTCCTGGTTTAGGAAGTTGGGACTTACCTGTAGTATAACCTGAGATTTCCTAGACCACTATATTATGAAAGCCTGTTTGAATTGGTTTGCAGTTTTGGGTATATGCATGACAGGGCTCAGCGTTTAGGCGTGTTAACTGAACAACATGACGTGTGTGAGCGACGAAGCCGGAACTCATTTAATTCGCGCAGGCAAATTACGAAGCGAAGTTTGCCGGCGAAATCATCATAGCCGTACCCAGACACCTCTCTTAAGTGTGTGGTCGACGACCCCCCCTTCCCCCTCGCCCAAGCCTGTCCCAATACAAACTACATCCAGACTTCACGTTGCGGTGCCATGCACGTGCAAGATATCCAGTTCTTCCAGTTCTGTGGCAATATCCATTCTGATTTGGCCAAACCAAAATCCTTAACTCTTTGCTCCTGGCATCGCAGCAGCCTAAGCACTCCTCGCTACTGCTGCGATTGTCTGCGGCTTTAGAGTTTGGGTCATTTTTTGAAGTAATCTACGTGTCAGGTCTAGGCTGCGGAGCTTTAGAATGTCGTGTTCCGGGTTCAGGGCTGAGGTCTCACAGTGCATCGCAGCAGAAAGCCGACCGCAGCCCACAGCAGCAATGGTTGAACATGAGCGACTCCCCTTCCAAGTAAGGCCAGGGTCAAGATCAGCTCTGCTAGCACTACTGAATCGTGTTCTGGTCACCAGTGTCACAATCAAGCACAGATAATCAATACCCTATATCATGCTTTGTTGCATATGCCAAAACTGAAGCAGGGATCTCCTTTCAACGAGTGTACACTGTTCCAAGTTGCCGCGGATCATCCGTTGATGGTCGGACACCTGTGGGTGCAGACCTCGTTGATCTGTGTTTGTGTGGTTGATTGTTTGATTGATGTGTTGTTTATTTGTTGGCTTGATGGCTTGATGGCTTGATGGCTTGGTTGGTTGGTGGGTCGGTTGGTTTGGTTGGGTCGGTGGGTTGGTGGGTTGGTGGGTTGGTGGGTTGGTGGGTTGGTTGGGTTGTTGGGTTGTTGGGCTGTTGGGCTGTTGGGCTG